ATATATATATATATATATATATATATATATATATATATATATATATATAGTAAACTAGAACGTTACTAATAAAACTATTGTTATCAACCTATTTTTGTTCCATAAGCAATTAAGCCATGTTTTCTTCATTGACGACGCTACTTTACTGAACACAAACTGGTTTAATACTCAAGCATGAGTGTTAAACATTATTGTTATCAACTTTTATTTAATTTGGTTTATTATTAATTAGAATCAAAATCAAACTGAACATAAGGTTCAGTTAGATTTGAGCTCTAAACCATTTAACCAGATGTTAATATAACTGTTGTGATGATAAAACAATTTTGGTCCAAATATATTTGATATTGTTTACATATCCAAGGCTTTGGGATGTAACGATATATAAAAAAGGATTGTTATTTTTTTACTATGATACTAATAACTATGATAATATCAAATATAGCTGAATATTTTTTATAAAAAAATAATTACAAAATAACAAAAAACTGCTTTTTTAAAATAAACATATTATTAACTTGCACATTGATCTGAATATCAGGCTTTTTTTACTTTTACAGTATATCCAATATATTAAATCATTGCATTTTTAATAAACAATATGAATTTAAATTATAATCATATTTAGATAATTATTAACTTTAAAAATTTTATTTTAACATACAAACACAACTTATCTAAAACATCTATAACTTTGCAGACCTAACACATTTTTAAGATCTAACATATTTTATTTGATGATAGCAATAATAAACTTGAATTAATTAATTTTCGAAACTAAATAAACCAACTTGTTATTTTCACATTTAGCCACAACAATAACATATTTTGTATTTGTTATGACTGACTGCTATTATATATATAGTATATAATATAAATAACACAGTAACACTACTTGTTTTTGTTTTTTCTGTTGAAAATAGACAAACTTGAAAAGCACCAAACAATGTTTCACTTATTCGAATAAGCCTCGTAAAACTGTAAAACAAACTTTTGATCCAGTACATTCTAATTTGAACATAGACAGTTGGTTTTGTGATTATCTACACATTGATCAATTCATGTGTATACGCTAACTAATTTCAGAATTGAGATGCAGACTGTTCTTTTTTCAGCAGCTAAAATGATGTTCTAAATTTTAGAACATTAGTTAACAATTAATTAATTAGTTAACAAATGCAATACTTTTAAATAGTTATATGTTAATGCAAATGAAAAACTTAAAATACTTTTTAGACTAAAAGTATAGTAAGTTTTTCATTTGCATTAACATATAACTATTTAAAAGTATTGCATTAATTTGTTAACTAATTAACGTTAAACTTTGTGTTAAAACTTAAACATATTTATATATTAAGAATAGATGAAAAATAATGCAATTATTGTTTTCTTATTTGAAATATACGAATAACATTTATCATCATATCTGCCATTTGTAGTGAAATCACATTTTTTCAAGGCGCAAAACTTCATGCAATGAAAAATTTAAACGCCCGGAGAATGCAGATAGTTTAAAAATAAAGCTGGCGGAAAATGCAGATAGCCCAATTTTGTTTTACGGGGAGATTGCAGATAGCTCAATTTTGATATAGGCGGAGAGAGCAGATAGACCGATTTTGCGCGGAGCCATCAATATCTATAGCCATAAAAAAATTTCTGAAATTATAAATTTATTGTTCAAAAATTATGACCATGTATAGTTTGTAACCCCCTCAAATTGAGAGGGGGTAAACTTTATATGGTCATAATTTTTGAGCACTTAAATATTTTACAATGAAATTTAAAATTTCTCGATGAATATAAAGTCTAGTTAAATATAGTACAAAAAATATTTCACGTTTGGGTAAGGGGGGCTAAGATTTTAGGGTTTCTTGTACCCATTCTCCTATCACAGTAATTTTTATTTTAAAGAATCTTTTCGTCATACACATGAACGTAAAATATTTCGGAAAATTCTTATTGTTTATAACTTGGTTATTACAAACATTAAAACACTTTTCTACGCCAGTGTATATATATATATATATATATATATATATATATATATATATATATATATATATATATATATATATATATATATATATATATATATATATATATATATATATATATATATATTTGTTTATGACGATATATTGTTTATGTTTATATATTGAGCAGCCGTGGCGCAGTGGTAGCGCACTTACCTCAGAAACGTAAGATCCGCGGTTCAAACCCCACCTCTGGGCAAGTTTTGCGACATCGGTTGGGAAGGAGGCGTGAACTTCCTATTAAATGCTTTTCCGCGGTGCTCTGTGATAAGACCATAAGGATTTCTTGGGGCACCTTAATCAACTTAAAAGAAATATATATATTATATATATATATATATATATATATATATATATATATATATATATATATATATATATATATATATATATATATATATATATATATATATATATATATATTTCATACGTAAATATGTGTATCACTGATTGTATTTTATGTCTATCACTGATTGTATATTGTTTAACCACTTTTGACTATATATTAAAATAAAATAGACTTTATTTAACCTTTTAAAGAGGTACTCGATGATAAGTCTTCATAGACTTCTACGAGTTTTCCTTTACAACAACATGTATATTTCTGAAGTACCAAAAAATTTCTTGTCTTTTTTTTTTCTTTTCTTATTTTTATTCTTTTATTTTTAAAAAATACTGGTAACATTTATGATAAGAAACACTATTAATTTACGCTATACTTAGATATACTTGTTAAACCAATTTTTATTATGCTATGTTATACTTGGTATTATTAACTTATATTTTTACGTTAGATTATATTATGTCATGTAGTTATAACGTAACGATGTGTAAATTTATTAAAGTTGTAAAAAACAAAAAAAAAAAAAAAAAAAAAAAAAAAAAATATATATATATATCACTTTAGAGAAGATTTTACATATGAAAGTAATTTAGTACGGCATAATTTTTTTTTTAATAATGATTTTTTTTCTGAAAATCTGTGTGGGTTAATGTTGGCATTATAATCTAAACCTAAATAAGAAACTCTAAGATAATTCAAGACAGATTTAAGTTATAATAAAACAAATAAATAAAAAAAAAAGTGAAAATAAATATTAGTTTTGGTTGCTTCAGTTTCTTAAGAGTTTTAAAATTATAAATTCTGACGACAAATGCAATAAAACCACGCAAGTATTTTTGGATATAGAAAAAATAACTCCGATAAAGGAATGAGTGATTGGCAGTTTTTTATTTTATGAATTATGGCGTCTTTAACTTCTTTATTTTTATTTTTGTAAATGTTTTTTTTATTCCTTTGAGTTTCAAACAAGGATTCTTATTTACTAGTAAATGGATTTATTGAATAATATGTAATGTTATTGTAGGTATATTGTTTTTAAACTTTGATTTGTATTAAAATTATTGTTGTTGCTGTTTTTTTTGTTGTTTTTTTTTATTGTTATTGTTGTTGTTGTTGTTATTGGTGTTGTTGTTGTTGTTGTTGTTGTTGTTGTTGTTGTCATTGTTGTTGTTGTTGTTGTTGTTGTTGTTGTTGTTGTTGTTGTTGTTGTTGTTGTTGTTATTGTTGTTATTGTTGTTATTGTTGTTATTACTTTTATTTTTAAAGCCAAAACATTTTTAAAATAAAATATTATTACGTACTTGGTTTAAACTGTTACTAATTGTTAATTAATCACTAAAAATAGTTGTTTTTATTTTCAAGTTGATAAAAAAAAAAGTTCTTCATCTTGGAATATACTTCTAATAACTTAAGTATTTTTTTGTTTCATTTTAATAAAATGTGTGCAAGAAAAGAAAACTAAATTGAAAAAAGCAAAACAGCCAACTCTAAGTCAGGGAGGAATAAGGAGTTATTATGATTGGTTAATAGAATTCTACTGTTGTTGCTATAACAACCAGATGCAACATTTTTCTGAGGTTTTAGAGCTAATTTCCAGACATGGAGCAAACTCCTAACATTTATTTATTTATTCGAAAGGTAAATAAGAATGCTTTACGTAACATTGAGATGATTTGAGCTTGGAATTGAAAGAACCCTAACATTTCAGCTACATTTGCCCCATTATTATTACCTTAATATTCTTTTCCATAATTAAAAGTCATATTCAACTAATACCTTTTTATTCTATTGTTTATAAACTAGGTAAACAGAGAACTGGAATGAATAAAGATTTATTGACTGTGAGCTTTGCCTTTTGTCATTTTTTAAAAACTAATTATTGGAAGATAAGCAATAGTTACTTTTAGCGTATTATTTACTTTTCTTCACAAAAAAAAAGGACTTAAATTGACACTACTAATAATTTATTGCTCTACTGTACGAATAACAATGGGCGAGACCAAGTGTAATTAAATGAATAGCGATGGGTGAAACCAAGTATACAATATAGTTTGCGAATGCTTGGTCTTTTAAAAATTAATCACCATATTTCTTTTTAATTAAATATAGGTCTTCCTTGTATGCTGCTCCCAATCGTTTAAAATACTTAGGCTTTTGACATACGATGACCTCCTTTCTTCCTTTTCTCCACCCAATGATATATTCTATATTGTAATATAAGCTAAGAATACATAGGTTTAATTATATTGCAGACGTCAATTTTAAACAAAATATAAGTTTGTTTACATAATAAATAAATAAAAAAGCTTACAAAAAAAAGTAAATAAAAGTTTTTTGATTTTTTTTTTTGGAACTTTTTTTGTCAGTTTGTCTGTTGCAATCATTTGTTTACGTTTCATATCTTGGTTTAGCCAATAGTTCATTAAATTTATCGCTTAAATTTTATTTGATTCTTACTTTACGGCAATAAAATGATCGTAATAACATTCATAATTAATTTTTAGATAATATATAAAAATAAAACTAGTGTGTTTTTTCGCATTTTAATTTCCTCTTACGTTTGGTTTACAATTAAATATTAAACTTATCACGATCCTTTATATATTTAAATGATTTCAAGGAGGCGTTTTTTGGGGGTTAGTTATAAAAGTCAGTTAGGTAACTTATCTAATAATTTTTGGAAGCAGGCAAAGTTATAGTATAAATAAAAAAAAATAAATTAAAGCGCTTTATCAAAAGACGACTCCAGTCGACGTCAAACTAAACGAAAACAATGAATAAAGTACACACTCGCTTATTTCTGATTATAGGTATGTAATTTAAACTTATTTCTAAATTATTATTTTTATATATCTATGCAATACAATTTGACCTGCCAGGCTATAAAAACCTTTTTTAAAAAATTCTATGTTCTTTTTTCTTAAATAATGTGAAACATAGATTGCTCAAACCAAGTTTTACAGAGTTCAAGAGAAGTCGAAGTTTCACACGTATCTTTAATACGTTTTTAAACGCACGATTTAAAGAATAGGTCTAACTGGAATAGACTAGTTTTGTAACCTAATACCAATACCAGACTTTTCTACAAGGTCAGAAAGGTTTAAATAAGTTTAAAAAATTTAAATTTAAATATTACCCAGAGACCACTAACGAACCACGAGGTTTGTTGCACTTCTATATTAAAAAAGGCATTTAATAGAAAGAAAAAAATGAGAGAAAAAAGAAACAAACTGTTTGCTGAACTACAAAGTATAAGAGGAATATTTAAAAAAAGTGTTTTACTCCAATTAAAAGTTTATCTCTCTCTCTCTCTTTCTCTCCCATATATATATATATATATATATATATATATATATATTATATATATATATATATATATATATATATATATATATATATATATATATATATATATATATATATATATATATATATATATCATTAAATTTACTTAGGATGTTTATTTGCACATATGAAGTGTGTTCCAATTTATGAAGTCAACGATGGTAAGCAATAAAATTAAATACCACACAAACTATTTTTAGTTAACAATCTTTTTTTTACGCAAGTTTTTTGCGTTATTTATTTCTAGGGAAAAACGATCTATGTAAACATTCTTATACCAAGAGATTATTATACAGTCTCGGAATGAGTGCTGATTCTTCTTTGTGCATTTTGCAAGACAAAAGAGGTACGTACGGAACTTTCAAAGAGTGTGCAAAACACAACTTTTAAAAAGAGTTGTATATAATCTAAAGTGAAAATGTTTTTATAATAAACACAGTGAATGACGTTTCTTTTATAAGCAAATAAACAACTAACGGTCCGAATTTTTTTTAAATTAGAGATTATTAAAAAAACAAATCAAAACAAAAAACAGTTTAACCATATAGTTTTTACATACACCAATATAAGATTTTTACAGTTAATCAAGTTGATTAATAAGTCGCTCGTCAACAGCGCTCAACGTTATACATTTCTTGATATATTCCTTTGAGCAAAACTTTTCTAACTGTGTGTTGTACAACGAAACGGAACTAAAACACAGAGTTAAAAGAGTTACAAACTAGTCGCATTAAAAATTACCAGTTAGAATAATTAGAAATTAAAGAACCGATTATATAGAAATTTACGTAACAAATAACTATAAATTATTAGAATTATCTTATACAACTATATAATACAACAGAAAAACATTATAAAAAAAGTTAAAGTTACGAAAGTTACTTTAACATGTTTTAAGATTGGCAACAGAATTGGCAAGTGTTACATCTATCTGTTTTAATAAAACGGATGCAGGTTCTTTTTGTAAAAAAGTTTTACATCTAAGCATTAGGAAATTTTACATACTTTATAAAAATAAAAGTTTAACTGTTTAATTATTAAGTTCAATTATCTTTTTTTAAATGTAAGTAATTGCTTCTTTGCTCCTTTAAAAGTGTTTTATTAGAATCTAATTCAGCTTTGATTGCCAGGCTAGTTGCATCACACCACTGCATTGCTTCACCTAAAAGTTTATTATACTTTTGACAAGATCACCAAATCAAACTTATATCCCGTTTATACTGACAATAAAACACTTTCTTTTTTAAATGCGCTTTAAATTGCTATTATAAAATGTTGAATAAAATAAAAATAAAACAATACTGTGAGGTCGTTTTTTCAATATGAAAAGCTTGTTTTCATGTAAAACATGTTTTATACAGTTTATAACATTAAAATATAAAACGCGTTTAAAGTCAAACGTATGTGTGAACGGGGGTAGTTGTTCAACAACTCTTGCTATATGCGTAAATTATTCAAATCCTACTGAATGCTAAACTTTTATTTCTCTAGAAAAAAAAGTAGAAAATTCTATAGAAATTTCTATAGAAATTAACAGAGATTCTATAGAAATTCTATAGAATTCTATCAGAGTTGTTAACAAGGCCAAAAGTACCAAAGCCAAGGTCAAGGCCAAGGACAAACAACTCTGAGTTTTATATAATTTCTATAGGCTATGTTTCAAAAGTTTATAGAAACTCTATAGAACTTTTTTTCCTGGGCAGTGTCTAAAAAAAGTAGCTGAACACTTTAAATAAGCAAAGTTCTTTTATTCAAAATCAGATAAATAATAACTATTTTCAGCTGTAGAAACAAAACAGTTTGTCTTTGATGGGTGGGTGGGTGGATAAAAAACACGCTTTGCAATTGCATACATGTTTTTGGATTTTGGTCCATTTTAGAGAAATGTAGTGTGTTTACTTATAAATGCTAATTTTGTACTAAAACACTAAAAGAATATTTCAGCGCCGGATCAAGGGGGCTATGGGGGCTATAGCCCCGGTCCCCGCAAATTTAGGGGCCTCCAAAAATTATATAGCCCCCCAAGAAGTCTTTATCCGCCACTATTATTTTAAAAAAATACTTAGATAAGAGTTTGAAATTGTGTTGTGTAACTAGAAATAAGATGCAAAATTTTTTAAATTTGTTTTATGGAAAGCAAATAGTTAAAGTAATTTGAGTAAAATAACAGATAAAGAAAAAAAAAAATTAAAAATAAATTAGATGAAACAATAGTAACGGGTAGTTATGATACAAAAAAATGACAATAAAAACCCAGTGGGCACAGGGCCTAAAATAGACTTTCAAATTTCAAAACTTATAAAAGCTATTATTTTTACGTACCGTGCCCACTGAGAAAGCTAAGCAGATGTATATTTTTTCAGGTTAACATAACGTTGCTTACTTAGAAGCGTAAAAACAAACTGCGAGCTCTTCTGTAAAATTTTAAAAATACTAATTCCTAACCCATAACCTTAAAAAAAGTGTCTGACAATGTTTTTGAGCGATAAAACATAATATTAAAATTAAATTATAGTGATTGCAAAGCCTCTAATCTAATATATATATATATAATAAATAATCTAATAAATAATTTTGAAAATAGCAAGAATGGTTATGTCTTAATAAAAAATAATTATTACGTTTAATTTAATATATATATATATATATATATATATATATATATATATATATATATATATATATATATATATATATATATATATATATATATATATATATATATATATATATATATATATATATATATATATATATATATAAAATAATGCCACAATTCGTTTGTAAAAAACTAATTCGTTTACAATGGATACGAACAAGTTTTTTAGGTTTTTTTTTTTTATTCTTTTCAACTTTTTCAATATATATATATATATACATATATATATATATATATATATATATATATATATATATATATATATATATATATATATATATATATATATATATATATATATATATATATATATATATATATATAATACTTATATATATATATATATATATATATACTTATATATATATATATATATATATATACATATATATATATATATATATATATATATATATATATATATACATACATATATATATATATATATTATATATATATATATATATATATATATATATATATATATATATATATATATATATATATATATATATATATATACTTATATATATATATATATATATACTTATATATATATATATATATATATATATATATATATATATATATATATACTTATATATATATATATACATATATATATATATATATATATATATATATATATATATATATATATATATATATATATATATATATATATATATATATATATATATATGTATATATATATATATATATATATATGTATATATTTTAAATTATTTTAACAATATTTTCTGATGTTGAGGGCTTAAATAAAAAATTTTTCTCCTTGATTTACATAAAACATGTGAATTAATTAATACAACCAACATTATTTGTATTAGTTAAGTCTCATTAGCTCAATTAGTTAAGTCTCATTAGCTCAGACTTTGACGTAAATTTGTTTTACTTCTCAATAAATCGGTTTCATAAATTTCTTGTTTACTTACTAACAAAAGAGAAGACAAAACACGGCTATTATAAAAGTTGGATTGTAGTTAGCATATGCAGTCTAAAACAAAAATTTGTAAAGTAAACTTAAGAAAAGTAGTAAAAGAAAATGATTAAAATAATTAATGAAAAAAAGAAAATGAATAAAATAAATGAGCTTCACTTATTTTCTTTTGTTTATTTTCTTAACATATTTTTGATTTTATCAGATTTTAAATTGTAATATTAACAATCATTGTTTTAATACGCAATTATGAACAAATTTTTTATCAATCTTTTTAAAAAAAATTTTTATTATCTATGTTCTCTTATTATACATTTTGGTTGATTTACCCATTATATCGCAGCAAGATTTTGTAAGTCATTATCCTTCCTTATCTAGACATTATTTTGAAGATACCAATCAATCACAAGACACCCGACGTAAACCTTAAAACACGATAAAAAAGTTAGGGTGCTCTGATGTCGTAGAAATGATTAATAAAGTCAAAAAACTGATGCAAACTTGAAGTCTGGACCTACTAGCCATTAGAGAGAGAGAGAGAGAGAGAGAGAGAGAGAGAGAGAGAGAGAGAGAGAGATTATCATATCTTTGATTGAATGCATCAAAGTTTAACGGATTTTGATTGCTATTTCTCTCTACTTTTAATGAATGAATTTGTTTATTATAAGGTTTTGGGAAAAAATTTTATCAAATATTCTTTTTCCTACTTTTTTTTTGATGATATCTTTTAAAATAATACAGATATAAAAATCTCAGATTTATCTCAGGTCTACAGATCTCAGCCATGGTTGGTCCGGCAGTGTTGTAATCACAAACATTGACCAATAAAAAACACAATAATCAAAAAAGTTTAATTTAGCTGTGAATTTTAAAAAATATTTTGAAGCAAGGTAAATCTTAAATATTTTTCAAGACAGTTATCTATATGTACTTCGTTCGAAAAATAATTCTCTTTTATTTAAGTAAAACGGGTAAAGCGGTAAAGGGTAGAGCGGGGACAGTAAAGTATTAATAGACTATCTAAACATAGTAGGGTAGAGGGGGGCTAGTTAAGCATAGGGGTAAGTTAGGTTGTTAGATTATTTCGAAAACTACGAGTAGATTATTTCTTCAAATTCAACCGATTAACGAACTATTTAGTGTAATAACATTAAAGCCTTTTCTATCAGTAAGAAACCTATCTTTAAATTGTTTAAAAAACTTATATATATATATATATATATATATATATATATATATATATATATATATATATATATATACTATATATCTAAACCATATATATAGGTTATAAATCTATATTTGTTTAAAAGACTATTAAACGATTATAGATTTGTTTTCATAATTGTTTGATAGCCAATTAAACGATGTAATGAGTTCAAAGAAGGAATAGAACCTAACTTCTAAAATACAAATTTTTGAATCCATACATACATATACATATATATATATATATATATATATATATATATATATATATATATATATATATATATATATATATATATATATATATATATATATATATATATATATATATATCTATATATATCTATATATATATATATATATATATATATATATATATATATATATATATATATATATATATATATATATATATATATATATATATATATATATATATATATATATATATATATATATATATATATATATATATATAGATATATAGATATATAGATATATATATATAGATAGATAAATAGATAGACAGATAGTAATTACATACTTAGTTTTTAAGTGTATAATTTTAAAAAACTCAAAAAATAGCAGTCTTTTTTGAAAATATGTTTAAGCACATTCAATTTTTATTTGTTTCAGACGTGGAAAGTCTATTCACCAGTGTCCTGGAAACTATTTTTTTGCGTCAAGTAAAAAAAGAACCAGTAACCGATTCAACAATAATTGAATGTATTTTTATAAAATTTTTCATTTTCAATTAATGATTTAAGGTGGTACATCTATAAAAAAATAAATTTCAATAGCCTGATTTAAAATTTTATTTTTCTGGTGTAGTACTCAAAAAGAAAAACAAAAAAAATATTTTAATTTTTTTTATATTAAAAAAAAAAATATTTGCATAATTAGCCCTTTTTGGGCAAAAAAGGAGGTAATCTTCTGTCTAGAATAACATTTGAACAAAAAATATCTAAAAGCTCAAAATTGTTACCCGAAATGTTGTAAATGAGTAGCACGTTCTGACATTTAAAAAAATATAATTTTATAAATATTTTATCCATAATGTCTAAAGACATTAATGATTTTAATTAATTGTAAATAAGGGACAAATTTCTAAAAATAACTTTTGAAATAATTAAATTAAAATTTTTTTGTTTAATGTCAGAATGTAAACAATAATCTAAAAAGCATTTGTGCAAAGTTTTAAAACAATTAATTTAGTACATAATTCACAATGTTCGACAGAAAATTAAAAAAGACAATTTGTAAAAACAGTAAATAAAAAAAAATGTAGTATAAAAAGTATATAAAAATGATTCCTTTTCCATAAATGTCACTCTCTTCTTTATTATTCTTATCATCAAAACCTTTTCTGTTATTTTGTGTATCATAACCTGTTTAAACTGACAGAACGTTTAAACAATGTAAGCGCATCAGCTGACTCTATTGTTCCAGCACTTTCTTTATGGTTAATGTTACAGTTATGTAAAGCATGTCAAACATTATAGGCTGGAGATTCTTTTTTTGACTCCCAGAATTTGCATCCTTTACATTTTTGGGAAATGTTTAGGTATCGATACATTTACCATTAGAAATAACAGTCACCACACCATCTATATGTCCGAATTTCTGCCATGTACCATCTACACTAACAGTTACATTCCTAATTGTATCATCTTTCGCAAACATCAGCGAATCAATATGAATATTGTTTTCTATGCATTCTTGTGATGCTACTAACATTAAACTCTAGGCAGCTTTTACATAAGCCACTTGCTAATGAGCTGTAATATTATTGTACAAACTTAAATTCATAGGTGGTGGCATGTTTATAACGAAATTTAAATAAAAATAAAATAATTTTTTTTTTTTTTAAAAACAAATATCTTTTTTGAACTCTTTGGTGCTTAAAATATCTAAAAAGTATGTTTGTGAATAATCAAAAAAAAATAAAGATTCTTTATAGATGTACCACGTTAATAAAATTTATTTTAAATTTATAGGTTTTGTTTTATATTGATTATTATTATTAGTTTATTGAAATATTCATACTTTTATGCTTATTTTTTTTACGTTTAGCGAGAGAGTACTGTTGCAGTCCAAAATGCGATAGTTTTATGGAAAAGCTTGGTAGACCACACGTTAAACTTGTTAAGTGTACGTGACTTTTTAGTAAACACAATAAAGGTTTTCTAAAATAAAGTTTGACTTTTTTCTCATGATTTAAATTATAAAAAATTTAAATAACAATTTCAATAAGTGTACCGTTGTTCTAGATAGGTTAATTGGTAGTTTTTACTACCCCAGTGTTCACGTGTTGTTTAAAGTACATCTGTTAGACGTCTAGCAGACGTCCGTAAGACGTTCGAATTACGTGTCCTTGACGACGTATGCCTACTGACACGTATTAGTAAATTTGTACCATGTTAGTAATAAATTTATACTTGATTGCGTTCACCGAGAACAAAGTCTATACATTTAAAAAAGACAATCTTTAACTTGAAATTTTTTAAACTCTTAAGACAAACCAATTTGAATAAATATAGCAAGCAGAATTAAAGATTTTTCCATGGGTACATAATTAAAACAATTTTTAATAGTACTAGTTTCAACAACAAGTTGTAAAGTTAGCAATTTTTGAAAGTCATGTTTTTGTGCATAGTTTGCTTCTCAATAACTTTTATTGATATATCTGATATATCTGATTATATACATATATACAATATAAAAAGCGAGATGTAAAGGACACAAGATGCAAAATGGTACAGAATCTTCGGAATATTGTTATTATCAGAACTGAATAAAAAATTAGAAAAGGTTAAAAAATGAACGCAAAATTTTCTTTATTTTTTTATTAAAGATGATGTTATAAATGTTTAAAAAAATGTCATAATTTGACAATTTGAAAAGAAAAATGTGTTAATACATAATAATAATTGTTATCAGTTCTGACGAAACAAGTTTTAGTGTTTTTAAATAAAGTACAATTAGAAATAATTTAAAATTCAACTGGAAACTAGATTTCTTTTTTCTTTTTTTTTTTCAGTTTTTTTTAGACGTACATAAAAATGGAATTTACAACTGTACTAATAAGTTTTTTTCTTTCAGTATTTTCATTTTTGTTTCCTTTTTTTTTGGAGCAACTCCGATAAATAATCAACAGTATTTAGTTAATTGATTCAATAAATCAAACCTTTAACCGTTCAAGCTTAACCGGTTTACTCTAGGCTTTGAGCTGAGTACATCCTTCAGACGTTTAGAAACCCATTGCCTGATATTTTCAAACAAATATTACTCCCACTTCGGACTGAGAGTCACAAGTAAGACTCAATCAAGAGCCAGGCGCAGCGCCACCGGATTTCTTAGTCTGAGTTAGCTAACTTTTAGTTCTTTTGCCAAACATTATTATTTTACATAAATATAAATAAATAAACGTTTGAAGTCAGCTTTGTGACTCGAAGTTTGGTATTTCAAGACACAGAGCTGGAGCACAGGAAATGGATCATCAGGATTAACTATTATTTCAAATGGGTAGGAAGGTGATAGCTTTTTTTTTTACTACTTGTTAATGTATATAATGTATAGAAGAAAACTTTTTATTATAATAATGCAATAGATTTAGCAACACTTTTTTTTGTTTTATCCGACGCATGTTTGCTAAGTTCCTGTACCTTCGGGAAAATCTTTTGAAAAGTGTAATATAACATAGGATTAAGCTTTTTCTCTGGTCAACTTACTTTCTAGTATAAATTAATTGTATTGCGTCTCATTGTATTTATTTCTTATTCTTTATATTCAAACTTTTAATGAAAACAAAATGTATATTGGGTCCTGTTAATCTTTTAGATTTGGTGCAGATGCGCCAAATCTAAAAGATGATCTAGAGATGCGCAGTTAAATTTGTTTAATCGCATTTTGCTTTATATAAGTAATTAATGTACAAAAGCGTCTCTGTTGAACTTGATTTATTTGTTATGAAAGTTGTTTAAGTTTTTTCGTATTTAGCGTTGTCATCATTATTGGATAGATCAGATAACTCTCTGAATTATTAAGAACAACAATGTTTTTGACCAAAATGCTAATGTTTTATAATCAAATCTAGCAAATTAAAAGGTAACAACATTTTAACATAAGATCTCCAAATATCAAAGATATTAGTAAGACTTTTAAAAATGAGTAGGACTTTCAGTAAAAAGAGTTTTCAGTGGTTTTAGAAAAAATACTCGGTATAAAAATAACAAAAAGTTATTTTTAAAGAGATCATTCATTTGGTTTGAATCTCCTTAACTAGGTTCTTAGATTCTCAACTTAGGTTGAAATAGTGCTTTCAATACCGGTAGTACCGGTACCGGAATACCGGTATTACCGGACATTTTTAAGTACCGAAATACCGGTATTGGTTTGGCTCAATACCGGTATTAAAAATATATGTAGAGGGCTTATGATATAGCAGGTGCTATCGCCCTCTTTACGTGAAACACTAAAGTAAATGAAATACTTAAAACTTTCAACAACGCTTCCGGTAGGAAAAAGATAGCTAGATGAGAAAAGACGTGTTTAAATTGTCTAAAACAAGTATTCTACGTACTTTATACTTAATATCTAGTTGCCAGCTCATTTCCCAATAGGTTTCGTAGTAAATGAGCTAGCAATTAGCCAGCGAACAGCTAGCGTTTAAGACGTATAAAATACGTAGAATACTTGTTTTAGACGATTTAAACACGTCTTTTGTCATCTAGCTATCTTTTTCTTACCGGAAGCGTTGTTTGATCGTGACTGGAAGTTTTAAGTATTCCATTTACTTTCGTGTTTTCATTAAATAATGAAGCACCAATTTAAAATATTATTATTACGTCACTCGCTTTAATGTAGAACGCATGTTTGAATTTTGCACTAACGTAAATATGAAAAGTTTCGGTAATGTAGAAAGTGGGGCGTTTAAGTAAATGTGATCAACAGTTGTGCATTAGGCATGGGATTCAACTAGGTATTCAAGATATTTTGTACAAAAAAATCGTCAATTTCTACAAAAAAAACTTGAAAGAAATATGCAATAACAGAGAAAGTGATGAGGAAATACTGATGACACAAACATAACCAATATTGATGAAGACTTTTCCGGCGGGTTTCAAGTTGTAATGAGTGAAGAGAATGACTCTATTGAACTGACTGATGATTTGCAGCCGTTAATCAAAAAGGTGCGCACCGTTGTGAAATTTTTATTTCGCCGTTCTCCGACAAAAAATGATCAAAATTCAAAAACGCACGTTAGAAAAATTTGATAAAGATATTCCACTAATGCTTGGATCCAAAACTAGCTGGGTTAGCTTGCACACAGTACTCGAACGTTTTGTTTTAATTAAAAAAATGCATTCACGAGTCACTTTTTGCCCTTGAGTCCAAAGTTGAGGTAACTAATAATGAGTCCGATGCAATATTAGCTGTTAACTTATATCTTGCGCCAGTAAAACTGGCTGTGGAAACATTGTGCCAAAATCATGCAACTCTGTTGTGTGATACAACATTTTCATGATAGATAACCTTTGAGAAATCGATTTAGCTGTAAAGTTATGTTGGTGCAATAATTCAATGAGCAACGTACTCTTTTTCCAGCATACAACATTTTTTGCACAAGGGACATCAACGTTACAAGAATTTGGATCTAGCTCTATCTTTTGAGCACCATAGCAAATTAGCCATTGTAAATACCATTACTCGACGGAAAGATCGGCTCAATCAGAAAGGGTATAGTCCTCTCTCTTTCACCAGCGTTTTTTCCGATAGTGATTCTGTGGACAACACTGTAAACTTGTCATTGAAAAAAAAAGCTTGACTTTGCAATTTTGAAAAATAAGAAATGTAACAACAAGGGAAAATTGAATGTTTCAAATAATTTATCAAAAATTATATGTATTGAAATAGGAATTTTTGAAGAAGGAGGAAATCGTTGTATATATTTGCAAAATTCCTACCATTACTTGAAAACTGTGAAGCCAACAAAATTAGAAGATCTTTCGAAGATGATGTTCTGAACGCCCTATGTTTTTTACGGGCTCATTTTACAAAGCAGAAAAAAGCGAAAAATGAAAAAGTCAGTAGTTTTGATATAAAATAAATAAGCTGATTGAATCAATAAAATTTTTACTATTAACTTGAGATTTTATTTAGATTATGATAAATTTAAAAATAAAGTTTAATACCGGTATTATACCGGTATTACCGGTATTGTAATTATTTAGTACCGATATACCGGTATTGAAAAATGGTATCGGTATTGGAAGCACTAGGTTGAAAGTAAAACAATGCGTATAAACTATACTAGAAAATTCGAAAGAAAAAAAAAAAAATTAAAAAAATAAATAAAAATACTTGATCTACTAGGAAAAAATAAATAAATTCGAAATTCGAAATTCGAAATGACAAGTTTAAAAAAAAACTTGTAATGCTAAAATTAAATAAGTCGTTTTAACTAGCAGTACTAAAGATAATAATGAAGTCTTTAATTTATTTAAAATAATACGCGATAATTGAAAAATTTCTTTTTTGACAAATTTACGAAACGTTCTTTGAGGTTTAATATGAACATAAGGTTAATTTAATGTTTTGTACATGCATGTGCAATACCGAGAAGTTTTACTATTGGAGTCGGAGTCGCAATTTTGTTTAGCGACTCCAACTCCAACTTTGCTAAAAATGTCGCAACTCCGCAACTCCGACTCCGACTTGACAGTCCTGAAAAAAATGAAAGCGAAATTATCTCCGTCTTCTTTTCATAGTGTGATTAGAACAAAGTTAAAAAATAAATACGATTTTCAAAATAATGATTTTTTAATGCAACTTTTATCGAAAACTAATCTTAATAAATTTCATATTTCGTTGAGCGTATCTTAGGAACAAAACTGCCCCTAGTAATTTTGACACTACTTTTAAATGGAATTCAAAAAAAAATAAAAATTAAATAACGTCAATTCAAATATCTTTAAAAAAAAAGTAAAAGAGTTATTTTTGAAATTGGAAATATTAAAATGTACTTAGAACTGTACTAGAACCTTAATTTAAATTCGTAGAAATAATTCAATTAATAAACAGTTGAATAACTAAGTTATACCAGATGTACAACTGTCTCTTTAAAAATACATATAAATATAAAAAAAAAAAATCCAAAATAACATACATTCTACATACATCTATTGGCAGTTTTA